AGGTTTGGTAATGTATCTCTTCCTTAAAGTGTCAAGTGCTGTTCAAGTCAGTGGGCCAGCCTACATAAAGGAAGTCAACCTTGCTTGGAAAAGCACAATCATGTTTACTGAATGGAAATTAATACAAACTGAAGCAAATAGTTCAAGATTTCAGTAGTGAGAGATTTCCTGTCCATGAATTATGACAGATGCTCTAAAGGATGTGCTGCAGTTTCTCCCTTCCAGACATTAAATGCCAATACTTTTTTGATGTTATTGTCTGATAATATAACTTCTGGGTAAACTGTTGATATTACATGAAGCAATAAGTGTGATCAATCAGGCTAGTTCTCTACATAAAGATAAAGTGTGCACATCATTATTTTTTTCTGCAAGCAAACTTTCAGGTAATGATAATTTCATGATGCATATTTCTAGGCATAGATGACAAGATGCAAGAGTAGTGTTCTCCAGGAAGTGTGTGTTTTGATTAGCCAGGGATATCTGCATGATTACTTGGTCTACCTGTTCTTCAGAGATACAGATACAGACCTAGGTCCTTTGATCTGCTGAGATGATATTGCTGGGGGAGGGGGGGGCTGGGAGGAGGTGGATAGCTAGGGACTCAGGGAGCTGGCTGCTTTGCAATACTCTGACTGTCCCTGCAGTGATTTAGAGACCCCAGAGGTCCCTCTAATTTTTTGCTAGCTGTCAGTGGTGATCAAGCAATCATCTGCCCAGTGAAGGGTAGCCAGAGCACACTGCCTTCTCATGCTCCCTCTCTCCCATTCCCCTCCTGTGCAGTTGTATCAGAAGCTCTGCAGAGGAGGATAGTTGTCTTTACTGGCTCTGCATCCACTGGGGTCTCCCAGCTAGGGGAGCGCATTCTGTCTCCATTCTCTTTCAACTGCCTGAATGGCACAAAAGAGTGTAGAGCAGGACAGAAGCATATCCCATCATTTAGGGTATATCTGTATTGCACTATAGGTGTGATTTCAACCTGTTTTCAGGTTCCCAGGCTAGCTTTCATCAAGCTAGCTCAGGTATTGATAGCAGTATAGATCCAGCAGCAGAGAGCTCCATACAAGTGAGTTTTGTAGCACCAGCTGCACTGTTATCACTTGAGCTAGTTCATAAACTTGTTGCTGTGTGTAACAGGTATCCGCTCTGGGCCGACCTTAATGTGGCCCACACACCTGTTCCTGGGGCAACCGCCCGCCTCCTCGCCTGCCATGCCTTGTTGATAATTGATTAATTGGTGTTAATTAGCAGGAGGCTGCCCTTGTACTGCTCTGCTGCTAGGGGGCGCTATCTGGGTTTATAAGGGAGCCAGGCCCTGCCCCCTCTGGTCAGCTGACCTTCTTTGGTTGCCCTGGCAACCCACAGCTGGGCTCCTTAGTCACTGCTAGGGCTCCCTGCCTAGCAGTTTCCCCTCTTCAGGAGCAGGGCACCTCAGTGCTCTGTGACACTGTGGCACCATTTTTTTCTATTAAGTAAGCACCTGCTGGCTGATAAGTAACTCTACTCCATAAGCAGTCCCATGGGCTTTGGTCAGTGACTAAACTGAATTATTAGCCTTGCAGGAAAAAAAGATAAATTAAAAAAGATTGCAGGCACCATTAAAGTGGCATGATGGTACACATATAGCAGTGAAAGCATCTTTTTTGAATGGCTCCAGAGAGTTGGTGATTCTTTCACAACAGATGGCTAGTGAACAGGTGTATTGACTCAACTTAAGCTGTTTTAATGAAGATGTTTTTCTCCTTGGGTCTTGAACTATCAAGCATGAAGGATTTGATCCTACTAGTGGTAATCAAACCAGAATGTGGTTTTCTGTGTAATTCTACTTTGGGTTTCTGAATTCATCATATCAGATGAATTAGAGAGGAAAAGACTGCTAAAAATGGTCACCTCTATTTCCATAGCCTCGGTTGGCTACAGAAAGCAGCTGGCTGGCTGATTTACTGCAGCAGGAAATGTTTGTGGTTGATCAGCTTATCCTGTATGGAAAACTTCTGTAATAAGACAAATAATTACTTTAAGGGATAGAAGATTACCCCAAACATTTCCTTTTTATTATTTGGATCCAGGTTACTGGTTATGCCATCCAAAGCCAACAGACTTCTCTGTCTTTGTTAATCAGAATTTTGATTTATTTTCTTTGAAATCTTCATGGCATGCTATGTTTTCATTTTACGAAATGGCTGCACATCTCCATAAGCCAGCATTTTTCAAACGGGCTGGATACAGATACCAGAAAACTGATCAGCATCAATATGATCTCTTGTAAAATGTTGTTAGACATTGGTTTTCATCTAAACAGAACATCCATGTTAAGACTCTCTCTCTTTATAACATCTTCTTTATTGGCACATGTATTTCTGCAGGGATGATATCATGCATTTAAAAGATTTAATTAAGGGTCTGAGATCTGCTAGTAAGTTGTTAAAAGTTAAACCAGCCAGACACTGCTCTGGATTCTACGTTTGCTGGATCACTTTCCATTGACAACACTGCTCATCTGTCATTTTGCATTGCTCAAAGGCTATTTGGAAATCAGCAGCACATAATTTGTAGTATTTGTACATTAAAAATAGTGGGGTAAAAAGTAATTTACAGTATCTTTTGGTTTCCCTTCTTCATTTAGCATTGTTCAGTGGTGGTTCCAAACACAATGAAAAAGAAAGAAAGAAAACACAATCACCTATAATTTAGTTTTAACATACTTTTGGGTACTGTATATCTATTTAAATAAAAACTACCATACTCATATTTTAAGGTGCAGAAACTCAGCTTTGAATTGTATTTTTTTTAAACCAAAAATTCAAACAATACTCTTCCTCACTCTGATAAAACACATGGAAACAATACTTAGCTTTTCTTTAATTTTCTCTGAGGATCTAAAATAAACTTTGGAAGTAATGGGCTGGATCCTCAGCTACTGATATTTAAATCACTGGGACCCCCACAGTTTAAACCAGCTGAGAATCTGGCCCTGAATATCTTAAATCTTGCAGCTATTGTTGGATCAGAACAGTATGGATGGGGAATGTGGGGGATTCTCAAGGTGTGAATTGTGTTGCTTCAACTAGGATCTGGATCCCCAACTCCTGGGTCATGGAAGGCTTGTGCTCTAGTAGCCCCATTTCTCACACTATTTGCTGAGAGAGAGAGAGATAATACACTGTTACACCGCTCTGTCTCCCAGTGCTTTTATCATATGAATGATTTACTCTAGTTATGTCCATGAGTTATGGACCATAAGGTCAGAGCAGAATTCTGTTCCACTTAATGGAGAACCGAAGTACAGCTTGCAACAAACTCCATGTTACCTTACTGCTGTATGGAAGCAATTCTCTTACTGCTGCTCGATGCATAAATGTCTCTTGTTATAGGGGATCACCTTGCAGGCATTTCCCTATTCCTATAATGAGAATGTTT